TTTGCTTGTTCAAAATATTGATGAAATCAAGATGTCAAGAAATAACCCATATGTACAAGTAATAAACATTTGATATCCTACTAAGAAAGCTACATACCTGTCACTTCAACAGACGTACAATTAGTCTCTTCCCCAAAACCGTTTGACACGTGACAGCAATACTTTCCTCCTGATGCTTTACCAGTGATGTTGAATGACATCACACTGGAATTAGCAATTGTGGTGTTGGTATCCTTGTGTATCCCTGTAACACGAGGTGCTGGATTACCAGAGGCATTACATCTTATTGTTATTGAATCTCCTTGTTTGCCATAAAGGTTTGGGGAAAGATACTTGATGCGAGGTAAAACTACACAAATTAATAAGATAGAATAAATGTAAGGTTTTTCTTTTGCTAATCAACTGGCTGAACTAGTATTGAATCTCGTTGTTTGCCATAAAGATTTGACATAAGATATTGGTAAAGTGCAGGATTACAACCCAAAGGGGTTAATGAAGAAGTGTCCTGTACTCTAGCAATAGTCGGATGAAATAAAGTTGAAAATACGGATAGTTTGATATTAGAATTTATGTGCATAATTTATATTGGGATTTACCACGAGCTCGACCCGATAGCCTCACTTCGATGCATGCTCATTTAGAATATCGCTAAGACGCGGACGTCATTGTGATAACAGCTAATAATTTCCAAGTTTGGTGCTATCCTTGCATAAAAATGATTTTTAACCTGATTTGCATGTTTATGTATCGCGTGATATGTTTGGTCTATTAATTGTATCCACGTTTGAAATTACCGGTGATTCCTGCACTCTGATTGGCCCGCTCTTAGCAGTGCGATTTAATCATGATTCCTGTGCCAGTTTGAGTATAAAATGGCACTATTTTGAAGAGCCAATACAATTGCAGAAATCAAAGCATTTTTTATCACAGAAAAAAGAAGCCAAAGAAAAGCATAAGAAAAAAAATCAGGCAATTTTTCAAATAAAGTACTTTTTTTTTTGATTAAATGTTGCATTCAAATTTAATTATATAAATTTTGTATTATTGCAAGAGATTTCAAATTGGATATGATGGCAATTGAACTTCATATTGTGCAATTTTGTTATGAAATCAAACTTGTGTCGATTAACACTGAAATTGCACTCACGCTACGCCGGTCTTGCAATTTTGTAATCACTCTGTCTATGCATTTCAGACAAAAGTGCACTCCACTCCGTCCATTACCATTATTTATTGCCTGGCTGCCTTTTATTTCATCTTTTTTTCTTTTTTTCATGTATCATCAAATACTTACCATATATGAAAAGGAATGTGCATTGCACATCTTTATCACCACCACCACAATCAACCACACAGCAATATGATCCACTTTTATTTTTATGAACATGTGAGATGATAATTGTCGTATTGGATCCACCAATAACAGAGAAATGAGGAACTGCATTTTTTATTGTAGAATAATTTTGTTTATTTCCGTATCGATAGAACATCTCTGTGTTGTTGTAAAGTATTTTAGAGATACCAAAGTTATTACATTCGTAATACCACTTGATGTGAACAGTAGAGCCAACATGTCCTTTCGTCCTCTGTGAAGGTAGTGAAATCCATTTGAACCCATCTGTTGGACACAATGTTGTAATAGATAAAATATTCGCGTCCGACCTTTATGGGCATTTAAAACGGCGAGCCGCAGGCGAGCCGTTTTAAAGCCCATAAAGGTCGGACGCGAATATTTTATCTTACTTGTGAAATGAATTAATAATTCATGAGTTTTGAAATGTTATTAACAAATGAGGACTTAGTTGATTGTATGACGAAATTGAATAGCATATTATTCATTGATAATAACAAAATTCTTTCATGGCGTAGTTGCCGGAATGAGTTCTCCCAAAGGAGTTTCGAAATATTGAACACTGAATTTAGCGGTTCATTTTCATAGAGAGGTTGTAGTAGAAACATGGCTGATCGGTTTCGCTCTGCAAAGAGTAAAGAAGAAGAGTCCAGTTTAGTGTCGGAAGCTACTCCAAAAGCTACTCAATACAACACTAAATGGGGCATAAAAGTTTTCGAGGAATGGCAGGAACAACGGCCAAATAAATT